AAAAAAAAAAAAAAAAAAAAAAATAAGTCGCAAAGAAAAGTTCATTTCGAGTTTTTTCATTAAGAACAAAGAATGTAGCGAAAGACCATGTTTGTTCTCACAATATATACTTTTTGTTTTTGCTTGCAACATATAGTTCTTTTACACAGTTTTCAGATTTTCTTTATTACATTCATTCATATTTAGAAGTTTAAGTCCTTGAAATTGAGAAAAATTTCACTTTTCTTGCAGAAAAGTTATGTAAACTGTTTGTGTCTCAAAATAATTGTAAGCCTCTTTTTTTTCTATATTATCCTCTAAGTACATTATTAAACTTAATTTAAACAGATGATTGAAAAGATTATTGTGTGCATGATTTATGAATGTATTTTTATACATTGATTGAAAGGTACCTAGAGTAAAGTAATATAAGCAAGTTTTTTTTTTGTTTGATTCCCAGAAGAAAATAAATAAGTATAAATTTTTTAAATATCGCTATAAGATGTTAAGATACAATATTTTATAGAATGTCTTGAATACTCTATATCATTCATCGTTTAAAATTTTTTTTTCCAAATTTTCGATAAAAGTGATATTTAACATTTACTGATGTATATTAAAACGAAAGAACGGTTTTTCATTTTGTAATCATTTATTAAAACAAATACGCAAAAATTTTGACATAATAATTTATTAATGTATTTTTTTAATTAATAAGCAAAAGAGAAATAATACTAGTTCTTTTTTATTAAGAAGAACACATTTTATTTATTTCATGGATTTTGCTGCAGCCTGGAATAGTTGAATTCTAAAAACATAAACAGATAATATTTATCTTATCACATTATACAAGTTTTACATTGTTGTTTGAAATAAAAGTGTGCTATCGGTTGGTTTTAGTTGTTGAGGTTTTTTTTTTTGTATTCGTTTGAATTTATTCGTACCAGTTATGTTTCTTGATTCGATATTGATGTTAACAGCTTCGAAGCCACGATCAGCTTAAAAAAGAAAATTATAAAAATTTTCTTACAAAAAACATATGAAATTTTTTAGTACTTTTTTTCATATCGAATGTACATTTGTCAGATATTAAAAAGTTTGGAATTTGTGTTTTACTAATTATAGACGAATCTCGTGCAAAAACATCGCGTTGTTGAACATCATCCATTCTATAGGAAAAAATTTAGATGAATATAACTAAAAGAAACAAACCTTTTAATAAATGCATAGTGTTTTCGACAATTTACCATTACAATTGAACCTTGAATATTTTGTTCAACAATAGAACTATCAGATTGTCCTGTAATAATAAATTTATTGCAGTTTTAATAAAAAAAAAAAAGTATGAAAATAATCTTACCGACAATTGTTGAACTCATATCATTGATTTGTTTTGATGTTTCCATTAAAATTATAATATATTTTATTAATTAGTTATAATAATAGCTATTATAGAGTATCTGAAAATGAATAAAATTTATCATTTTATAATGTAAATTTCCAATTTAATTTATTTTCATTCTTGATTAATGGGCAAAAATATTTAGTTTTTATTATTGAAAGTGTCAAATAAATGGAAAACGAATAAACAACATTGGCAAAAAAAGCTTTTATTTTGTCCTTGATAGAATAATTATTGAATCGATTTCATTTAATCTACAAAAACAAAAAATACTTTTTTTATATATTAGTTTTCTTTTCAGATATTAACTTACAAAAACGAAGAACATTGAAATCGTTAAATAAAAATATTTTGAAGCTTTTTCTATGGTTTTGAAATATTTATAATTTTTTTACCTAGCTCAGTATATTCGAAACGTAAGTTAACATTTGATAATAATGCCATCGCAATTTCTGTATCATCAGCTGCTATTGTAAGACCAACACAATTAAGAAGTCGCTCGAGTATTTGTCCTGAAGCCCGTAGAATAATTTTTTCTTGCCCTAAATAGGATCGTGTCAAAGTCATCTTTTTATAATATAATTTTTTTAAAACTAACCATTTTTGATTGCAAGTGTAGTTGAAATATCATAATTGATACTTTTTTTTAAACTATGTCGTTGACAGTTTTGGCAAAATACCAATGCAGCAGCGCCGATTACATCTGTTAGAACACCTTTACAAGTGGAACATCCACTTGATCGATTGATAGTTCCAATTTCTTCAACTGTAGAGATAATATTTTTTTTATCTGTCAAATCAATAGCAAGTGTTGTTGTTACTTCACTAATATTAGCAGTAACAGACTAAAAAAATGTGAGAAATAATATATTTATTTCTTTTTCATTAAACAAATAAAATATTTTCTTTTTATTAGCCTATTTAAAAAATTTACTTTTTAAAAAGTTAAACATGTAGAATAAAACAAATTATATCAGTTTATTTACCGTTATGGCTAATGAGATGTACGTGTTGATTGTTGTAGTAAGAATATGTACGCCATTGAACATCTTCCGACGGACTTGAGTTAAATCGTAACTTTTTTCTATTGAAAATGTATTTGTACCTAAATCGATTACCACCAAGTAACTTGTACCACTATCATCACCAATCAAAACAAATGTATTTGTATGAATAACACCATCTCGATCGAAATTCTCAGGCGGTCGAATATCGATGATATAAACTCTTATAGAACAAGGTTCAGCAGACATAAGTGCGTCTCGAATAGATAAAAGATCATTTGTTGGATTTTGAAATAGAAAACTAGGATTAACTTTTTGAAAATTAGACCATGCTTGAGTTTTGAATATTGTCAATCCTGAAATGAATTATCATCATGTTTTTTTTTTAATGTATTTAAAATTTTATAAATAGAAGTAAACTCAACCTACCATTGTTTTGCTCTAGTTTACCCCATAAACGTAAACCTGTATGATTTTTCATTGAGTTTGTTAAAGCACTTCCAAGTGGTGTTGCTAAAATTCCAGTTATGTCACTAAATATCCAGCCATCAACTTGACCATTGTTTTCGGTTTGCATGGTGAATTTGATATAAAATTTATTCTTTCTATTTTCATTAGATATATTAGTAATATAACCAGTAATTGATTCTTTTGATGGAAATGTTGTTGTCATTTATTGTATGATTTTGAACAATCTGAAAGAAGACAAATAAGTGTTTAAATACTTTAAATAATTTTTAAATAGATATTTTACTTTTTTGTTAAAGCGCTTGAACAATAGAATACTAAAAAAGATGAGAGTATAACAAAAAATCCAGAAGTCTGAGGTCAGAGTGAAAATAAAATTACAACCAATAAATAGATGCAAACAGAATCGTAATGAGATTCAGTAATTAGACAAATAGAATACAGTAAAAATGGCGCGTATGACGCAAGATAAATTATTAATGATCTAAAAATATAAGTTTTTTTCTAAAATTAATATTAGAAATTTCTAACTTACTACTGTATCATAAAGTGTATTTAACAAATTTTTTTAAATAAACTTTTCATCTAAGAAAACTTAATGTTGAGCTGTGAATAGATTTTTCTTCCGATAAATATATAGAAAATAGTTTAAATTACTAGTATGTTGTCTGACGTAGCAATATAATCCATTAGTAACAATTTATAATGAAATAAACAATTGTTTATTTGTAAGTAAAATTGATTTTTTGTTGATTTAATATTTTATATATTTTAATCTACTATGTTATTATGAGAAGCATAAAGATAATGTATTGATACGACATTCTACTACACAAAGTATGTATAAAATTACAAAAACTTTTTTTTTTTTTTTTTTTTTTTAAATAACATACGAAATATTTCGGTGTACTATTTGATTTTGAGAAGTAATAGGATAATATATTACTAACATTTTCCTGTAAGATAAAATATTGCCGTTCTTTAAAAATATATATTTTTTTTTTAAATCAACATCTAAAATAGTTCATCATAGCGTTTTATTATAATAATCATCAATATTATGTATTTATAAGATATCGTTCTAAGATAATATATTGCTGATCTAAAAAAAAAGTAGAATTCTTTTTTCCAATATATAATATATATATTTGATCTCACCATTCTATTGTGAAAAGCAAAAAATTGAATTGTTAACAACATTGTTAGTTTTGACAAATTAGTTCTGATAAAAGAAAATTTGTGATTTATATAGTTAATATTAAAAATGTTTGACTTACTATTACTAGTCTTTTATCAAATTAATAGAACTAGTATTTAAATGTAATTTCGGTGTAAATGAAAATCATTAAATATTATCAATACAACATTGTTATCATGCATTATAGTATGAACAGTATTGAGATAATTTATTAATGAAATAGTAATGTATAACAAATGATTGAATGTTAAATAATTTTAGATATGTTGTTAGTATTGTATGCCTCATAAAATAATTGATTAGTTGTTGATTGAATAGAAAACTATTCGTGACATGATAGATGACATTACGAACTTTGTTTCATAACAAATAAAATGAAAGATGTTCAAAAGTTAAATAAAACTATACATTTAAAAAAATAAATAAACAAATAATCAGAAAACAATAACACATAGATGAACGCAATAGAATTTAAGTACGCAGATAGTTAGAAAACAAATAAAAAAAAATAGAAAAAAACAATATAAGAAAGAAGATACAATAATTAAGTAAATACTATATGTTCAGACGAAAGAAAGGCTGGAGTGTCATCAATACAAACAACACTATCGTAATGTGGAATATTTGGATCATAAAAGAGATGTAATTGATCTTCAAGAAAATCAGAACCAGGAATAAGTAGAGGTTTTTTTTCAAGTTCATGAATAATTATATTTTTATTGATGATAACTGCTGTAGATGAAAGTGTAAGATGGTCGGCATATGTACCATCTTTACTCATTTGTTGAATGTAATTTTCTATTGTTGAATACATTTCATCAATAAATGGTGCGAAATCGTTCATATTTTGAATTAAATAGTTTATTGTTTCGGATCTAATATCTAAATGATCGTCTTCGTGTCTATATAGTTGATGTGAAATTGCACGGAAGAAACAATTACCATCTGCTAATATATTAATTTTTTTTAAACCTATACTAGAAAGTTGTTCATTAGAACTAAATGTGCCTCTTCTTCTTTCTATGCAATTTTCTTTTCTTATATTAGTATAATTACGAAGAAATAATCTTTGTTTTTCTTTTAAAAGATTATTACGGGTATTGCCATTTGTTAAAACTTTTATTTTTTTAAATACCTGATTTGATTTTACTGTTGTATTTTTTTTTCTTTTATTTGTTTCTTTAGAAATTTCCAGGAATGATAATGAAGTAGGTAAACAGGTATCTGTATCCATCTGTTCATCATCATTGAACTCAATCTCTTTATTTGATTCTTTTTCCTTATTTTCTATATCAATGGAACAAATTAATGCATCATGAAAGCTATAAAATGTTCCTGTCACATCTCGATATTGAACTTTATTTAGTATAAAATTAGAATAAACACAATCAAGGCTTGTTAAACTATTCGTGGTAGGCATATCTTTAAACATATTTACAAAACCTAAATTTTCTAACTTTGTTTCAATAGGTTTTGATTTATTTTCAAGACTATCTTCATTAAAATCGCCAATAAGAAGAATATTTTTGTCAATATTAAATTGTTTTAAATGTTCAATTACATTTACAATAAATTCTTTTTTATCCTGCTGTGGTGATCGATAACATACGATAACAACTATGTTACTCTTTTCTATTTGAACAGTAATACATTCAAGATTTACATGTGCATATGAATCATTTTTTTTTATAGGAATAGTTTCTCGAAAATATATTGCAACACCACCACCTTTTTGTGAATGAAGTAAATGGTTTGATACAAATGAGCATGCTCGTGTTTTATGAACAAGATTATAACCATTAAGTTGAAGATGATCCAATCGAGTATCATCTTTCAACCATGTTTCTGCTAGACAAATCAAATCTGCTTTATATAATAAATGGTAATTACAAAATGCTTTATAATTACATTTTAATCCTTCAATATTGTGAAACAATATATTCAAGAATTGTGAAGATTCTTGAAATATTAATTGTTTTTTTCTCATTATTTTCATTTGAGAAAGAACTCTATCAACATTTTCGTTACAGTAGAATTTGTCAAAGTGTAAATCGATAAGAAACAGCCCTTCTAGGATACGAACACGTGATAATGCTGTATAACCCATTCCACTTCCAAAAAAGTCTTTCGTACTAATAACAACTTGATCAACAGTAATTCCTTGAGCTTTGTGTATAGTCATTGCCCAGCTAAGACGTAAAGGAAATTGTTTTGTTGTTTTCTTTGATTGTGAATCATAGTCTAGTCGATCAATAGTGTTACTTTCTCGCATCACACATATTGTATCTCGTCCATGACAATGTGGACAACTAACTCTATGAAGACGTCCAACTTTAGATGAATCACATTTAATTATTATGTTAGAAACATCTTTATTATTATTTTCTACAAATTCTACAATACGACCTGTGACACCATTTGCTAATCCATCATTTACACAAATATTTTTCGTTATCATCACACGAGCATTTTTGGCAAGCCGTAATGGCTTACTATTTTTTTTTGTTTCTGTTCTTCCGTTCGATTTTATTTCTTTGTCATTATTATTAACTTCATAGAATATTCGAATATTCGTGCAAATTTTCTCAATCATATCTTCGTTATGTGCATCAACCTGAGCATTTCTAGCAAAAAGATGCAATGCTTCTGGATGATATTCTTTGTTCAAGTAACGTTGATGACTTTTTTCAAGTACATCACGATCTTCTTTATTCATATCTTCTTTTTTTTTAATTTTTCGAATACGATTAAGCATTTGTGAGAAAAAAATGTTTGTTTTTTGTCTTTCATTGATTTTAAGTTCAACATATTCAAAATGATCAGACCAAAGTAAAGAAGAATAAATACTTGAAGCTGCTACTGGTGAACATTGATAAAAATCACCTATAGCAACTATACCAATATTACCAAAAATAGCTGTATTCGAATGTATACCCATGATTTGAGTAAGACGAGAATGCATAGCACCCCATAAACTTGCTTGTATAAGAGAAACTTCATCAACAAATAATAATTTAAGTGTACCCAACTTACAACGATAACTATTTAATTTATCGCAAGATAAATTATCACTTAAAGTATTATTTTGAGTTCCAATCCCGAATGCACTATGAATAGTTATCCCACCAACATTGACAGCTGCTGCACCAGTAAAAGCTGTGATCAATGTATGAACCTCGTCAATATTCTCATCGGGTTCTAACTGTTTTTTACGAGAAAAAATTTTTGTTGCTTCGTAATGAAGACATTTCAAAAGATGACTTTTACCTGTGCCTGCTCCTCCCGTAATGAACAAACGAAGAGGTTCGACATCAGGATTATGTAAACGTTGTGTACACCATTCTCGAACATAATAAAAGATTTCTTGTTGTTCATAGTTCATCGATTCTAAGAAAGGTCTTATTTCATCCGTAGTAGCAAAAGTTTGCTTCAAATCAATGAACGTATTTTTATTTTTTCTTTTATGTAGAATATTAAAATCAGGATTATCTTCTAGTTCAATTTCTCCTGACCATATATTATCCTTTTCTTTGTTAGCAACAATTTCAGCCCATTCGTTGTCTTTCATATCTACTGATAATTGATTAAATAATGATTCCATTTCATCTGTTTCTTTCAAATGAGCTTCATATTTTTTTCGATTTTCATAGACAATTTCTTTTACTCTTCTTATACATTGTTGTCGAACATCAAATATTTCACCTATTTCATAAAACAATTCATAAGGTTTTTTCAATTCATTTCGACTTCTTATCGGTAAATAGAGAGAAAGAAGATTTTCAAAATAATTTTCTCTATCTGTTTCTCGATTAAAATATGGATACCGTATAATAGCCTTACGATTACAACGTTTCTTAATAGCAAAATTTAGTGTTTGTAATCGTTTAATTGGAGTCTTTGGATTTTTAATATTCTTATTAATCGATATGATTTCATATTCAGAAGCAAAATCTGCCATACAAATATCGAATTCCGGTTCTTCTGGTCTATCAAAATATTTGTCAGCTAAGTTAGACATATATATATTTTCGTCATCTGGATCCAATTCTTTTAACACATTTTGTGATTTTAAAAATTTACAACTATTTGAATGTGCTGGTACAAAAACAAAACCTCGACTTGAATATGTAAGTGGCATTT